TGTGTTGCCTTTCTGAATAAAAAGACTCCATATTTTATGTAACTATAAAGTGAAGCTTGAATGTTGTTCTATATGTGTTTCCTACATTACATATAAAAGAATACTAAGTCATCCATTTCCACTCATCTATTCAAGAAAATACCAACTATTTATTCTTAAGTGAATTGAACAGCAGTAATACTGAATGGAGCACTATGAATAATGCAGTGGAAAATAAAATGGAAAAACCACAAAGGCATCCCTCCCAAGATGACAGGTCTGCCATTGACCAGCTCCTCTCTCCTGTCCTCACCTGCTGTACAGGCCTGTGTCTCTTCACTGCTGGGTGGAGAGAGAGCCAGGACACAAGCTCTCTTCCATCTTAGGAAAGATCAGGGATATGGCCTTCTTTCAGCATTTTCATTGGCTGTAACTTATAATTAACTCAGCAGCTGTGCTGTGGAACATTCATGGTTTCTAACAGTCCACACCTTAACTGATTAAGAAGAGAATACGGTGTCTGTCAATGTGATTTTTATAATGACCCCTAGAAGTGAAATTTCCAGGTTAAATGTTTATAAGATGAACTTGAGGATCGCAGATTTTACACTTGAAGCCTCAGCATAAAGTTAGAGCCTGGTAGAGGAAGACTGAGTCTGCTCAGATCTATGTGGAGATCTGAAGTCAGAGAGATGGTCCAGTCAGAGGTGCAGGATACTATAGCACATAGCACAAACCATGGCTAAAAAAGGCCGAGTCCAGGCTGCCTCATCCATCAGTGAGTTCTAAGGAAAGCATCACATACTGCATGCTGGACAGCAGACTGCTGGAATGGTTCCAGAGCTCCTTCCTACATGCCTGAGGCCCCCTATCTCACTCAGGGGAGCTCTGTATGAGAAGGTCAGTCTGTTACAGAGCCCAACCTGACTGAATGTTTTCCACCCAGGTGCAGATCTGAACTGCCACGTGTGGACTCACCGTAGCTATGGAGCAGGACAGGTGTTTACAGGGAGCAGGTCAGGAGATGGGGACACTGCAGGCAGGTCAGGGTATGAAGTCTTAAATAAGAGACCAGGCACTCACCAGGCCCAGTTTCCTCCAGCAGTAACCACATCCTGCAAGAATGTGTATTAAATCTGAGTAACTGAAAGGAGTTACTCACAAAATTATATATTATAGAGATAGCTTGAAGATACAAAAGTAAATGGTAGCATCCGTAAGTAAAATGAGATGTGACCCTTAATGGATATGTGGTGTCCATTGATGTCCCCAAACCACATGCATCAGAAGGAAATAGTCTGATGAACAGAGCAATAAGGAGCACAGGCAATGTGTAAAAATCACAGCTGCTTAATAACAACAACAAAGCTGGGATACAATAAGTGCACTGGTGAATTTTATTCAATATAAAATAAAGAATAAATACTGATTGTTTTTCGATTCTTCAATCAATTTGAAGGATAAACCACCACCAACTTCTTTTATGTGACAAAATAATTCTGAGAATGAAGCCAGATAATAATGTGTTAAAAATAATATAAATGAAAACACTCTGTTGGCTAATATTCCTACCAAACATACAGAAACATGTTCAGTTAAATGTTTGCCACATTAACTCACCAGCATATTCAAAATTAACCAACATGATCAATACTGGGCTCAATCTCAGTGGTGTAAGAATGGTCCCTCTCTCACAAACTATCTGTTTCCACTGGTTTTAACATATTGTATCTTACTATATTTTACTATATGCAATAGTATAAAGAAAAATTTTTGTAGGCAAGGAGATAATATAGAAACCATTGTTCATTTTCTGTTAACTGGTTCTAAATACCCTGTAATTGTTTCATTCTCTTGAATGGCTTCACACTGTCTTGATATTCTTGATGCTATAGTATACAAAGTTATACTCAAATAATTCAAGGAATGAGGTACTATGGTGACTACTATTATGTTAGATTATCTGGGAGTGAAATACAATGATGCTTAATTTGTTCCATTCTGACAAGTGTTATTCTATTACAATGTCCTCTTTTATCTCAATCTCCATCTTTTTTAAAAAATTAAACTATTTTTTTTCAATTAAGGGAAAACTAAATTAAAAAATATTGGCATATATTATAGTAACTATTTGTTTTCCTATTAACCTGATTTGAACCCCAGTATTGTTCTCCCCATCTTGTTCTGTCTGATTTTACTATATTCTATGTGTTTGATAGTATCAAGTTTGAGGGTATAGGCAACCACTTTGAAGGCAATAAGATGTACTATGATACCCATTATAGTTTGACTATTATCTTCTTTTGAGATATTGTAAGGTCTCCAGTGTAGGTTTTATTGGTCTTGTTCTGTACTGTTTTGATCCATTCTATTATACCTGATGATATAGGCAACTCTTTTTAAAAATAGCAAGAGGCACAATGGTAACCATTTTTGATCATCTGATACTCTATTTTTGCATCATGTCCTATGCCCACCCTTCTGTTCTAACTGACTTTGTTTTATTTAGTCATGTTAGGATTTATTCTCTTCAAAAAAATGTAATAAGAACTGTGGGAGTAAAAAAACTCAAAAAGTGTAATTGTTATTGTAAAAAAGAGGAAAGGAAGGTGGTCTAAGGGATATAACTGCATGCTTGAGTGTGTAGGATGGAAAACCATATTACTGAGCTTTTGTTGGATCATTGAACAGAACTTTCTGCAATCTCACTGTATGAATGTCCACTTTATATGCTTTAATTTTATAATTTGGACAACTTTTTCTAAGATGACAAGATGTAACTTATTAACTAGTGATTTCTTATTGAATTTTTTCATGAAATTCTGTATTACTTGTACCCTTTTACTGCTTTGTTTTTTATTTCCTATCTTTGTTCTCTTTAATTAAAAAATAATCAAACCTGGAATGGATATCTTTTATTTATGTATGTATGTATGTATTTATTTATTTATTTATTGGGCACTGGAGATCAAACTCATGACCTCACACTTGCCAGGCAGGTGCTTAAGCCACTGAGCTAAATCCCCAGCCCACCAATGGATATCTTTTACATCTTGTCATCTTTACAGTAGTTGCCTCTTCTCTTGAACTTGATACTAGCAAGCATACCAAAGGTGAATAAAATCAGTCAAGGCCAAATAACATTCAAACAAACCAGCTTCAAAGAAGATCAGTCACAGAAGACAATGTAAGTAATATAGGGTTTCAGTTTTAGTTAATAGAAAATTAAGGATAGTTACCATGGTATAACCTGCTATTTTTGGGTTATCTCTCTGTGCCGTCAAATCTAATGTGTGTAGACAGAAAAGAACACAATATAACCAAACAAAATAGAGCAACAAGACTACTGTATATTTTAAATCCTGATACACTTTTATCAATGTCCTCTGCCTTCTTTTTTTTTAGGAAATTCCTCACCTTTCTCCTTCTCAGGATACTATTATTCACTGTTCAGTGATATTAGTCTAGTCTCTTATGTTAAATTTCAGCATACATAAAGATAATGACAGCTACTATGAAGAGAATAAGAGACATTATGGTAGTCATTATCGACTTCCCCCAAAATCAGTCTTGAAGACCGAAAAAGCCTGCATCACCCCGTAACTATTTGATTAGTTCTATAATGTTTGGTATATATTCAATGTGTGTGAAGATGGGAACAACTATTTGGAAGAAAACTAGAGACAGTAACATAGACAGTGAACATCTACAGTGGACTTGCTTTGAAATCTGTTTCCTTAACTTGTTTCCCTATGAACTGTGCTGTTCTGTTTTGTCATGTTTAATCTTACCCTCTTTAAGAACAAAAGGTGTGTAGGACAGATAAGCATATTAACAACGTTTTGTTGGATCATTAAGGTGAACTGTTGACAGTGGCATTATTTGAATATCACTTTGTATGCTTTAATATTGTTACTTGAACAACTACTTCTAAGATGACAATATGAAACTAATCAACTAGTGATTTCTTATGGTTTATTTTTCTGAAATTCTGTATTATTTCTACACATTTTCTTTTTTCTCTTTAAATAAACAACATTACAATTCACCAAAAAATATAAAATTTAAGTTTTACAGAAAAAATATTAAGTACATATACACTATCCATACTTGAAAGTGAAAAGCCCATTTCAGTTTAGCATGTTTAATTACAAGATGCCATGTTGAAGCCCAAAGACACTTTAAAAAATCTAGAGAAGTACAAGTGATTAACTGAGAACCATACAATATGTGCACCTAAGGAGAGCTCCACATCAGGTTTGTCATTTCTGGAATATTTGTGAAGATATATTGACATGTAACTTCTGTATTGATTATTTCTTCAGGTCTCCCTGTGATTTTTAAAGTAAATTTAGATCTAAACTGTCTGAACAGTGACACTTTTTCTATGTATTTAGCAAGAAACATGGATTGCTATATTTCTCACATTGTTAATCCACATAAGATTTCTGGCCAGTGAGCTCTTTCAGATATGTAACAATGATCAAGTATGCTGAGAGTATTCCCATAACACATAAGATTTATCTCTTGTGTGAGTTTTTTCATATATTTCACTTATAATCTGGCTGCTGAAAGTGTCTCCACTTGCTTACATAGCCAGTGGTTTTTCCCAGTGTGAATTCTTTCATGTGTTTTGCAATCACTGTATGTGGTAAAAGCTTTGCCACATTGTTATATAAATAGGGTTTCTCACCAATGTGAAGTCATGGATGTATTTTACAATATCCATGTGTGGTGAAAGCGTTCCCACATTCTTCACATACACAGGGTTTCTCAACAGTCTAAATTTTATAATGTATTGCACAATGAGCATTTCTGCTGAAACCTACCCCACATTCCTTACATATATAAGTTTTCTGCCCAGTGTGAAGATTTTCATACATTATGCAATATATACGTGTGCTCAAACCATTCTCATGATTCTTATATACACTGGTTTTATCTTGAGTGTGAACTTTCATGTTGCTTACAATGTCCATGTTGGGTAAAAACTTTCCCACATAGCTTACATACATAGGGTTTCTCTCCATTGTGAATTCTTTCATGTTTCTTACAATCTCACTGCATTTTAAAGGCTTTCCCACATTATTTACATACATAAGAGTTTGTCTCCAGTGTGAATTCTTTCATGTTTCTTACAATCTCCCCATGTGCTAAAAGCTTTCCCACATTGCTTACACACATATGGTTTCTCTCCTGTGTGAATTCTTTCGTGTTTCTTACAATTTGCATGACTGGTAAAAGCTTTCCCACATTGCTTACATACATATGGTTTCTCTCCAGTGTGAATTCTTTCATGTCTCTTACAACCTTCCCGTCTGTTAAAAGCTTTCCCACATTGCTTACATACATATGGTTTCTCTCCAGTGTGAATTCTTTCATGTTTCTTACATTCTCCCTGTGTTTTAAAAGCTTTCCCACATTGCTTACATACATATGGTTTCTCTCCAGTGTGAATTCTTTCATGATTTTTACAATCTCCCTGTGTTTTAAAAGCTTTCCCACATTGCTTACATACATATGGTTTCTCTCCAGTGTGAATTCTTTCATGTCTCTTACAACCTTCCCGTCTGTTAAAAGCTTTCCCACATTGCTTACATACATATGGTTTCTCTCCAGTGTGAATTCTTTCATGTTTCTTACATTCTCCCTGTGTTTTAAAAGCTTTCCCACATTGCTTACATACATATGGTTTCTCTCCAGTGTGAATTCTTTCATGATTTTTACAATCTCCCTGTGTTTTAAAAGCTTTCCCACATTGCTTACATACATAGAGTTTCTCTCCAGTGTGAAATCTTTCATGTTTCTTACAATATCCATGTGTGGTAAAAGCTTTCCCACATTGCTTACATACATATGGTTTCTCTCCAGTGTGAATTCTTTCATGTTCCTTACAATGTCCAAGTTGGGTGAAACCTTTTCCACATTGCTTACACACATAGGGTTTCTCTCCAGTGTGAACATTTTCATGTATTTGACAATGAAGTTTACGGCTAAAAGCTTTCCCACATTTCTTACATATATGCAATTTCTGCCCAGTGTGAATTTTTTCATGGATTACACAATGAGTACATGTGCTGAAAGCTTTCTCACAGTGCTTACATTCATAATGTTTTTCTCCAGAGTGAAGTCTTTCATGTACTTGACAATATGTACGTGCTGTAAAAGCTTTCCCACAGTGATCACATATGTAGGGTCTTTCTCCTCTGTGAATTCTTTCATGTTTCTTACAAATTCCATGTGTGGTAAAACCTTTTCCCCATTGCTTGCATATACAGGGTTTCCCTCCACTGCTATATTTTTCATGGATCTGAACATTGTGGTGTGTTTCTGTTTCTTTCACATTCACATTACCTTCTGCAGTACCAAGGAAGACTTCTTTACACTGATTCCAAGATGTATATCCATAGAATTTCCCTAGCTTTCTGTAAAGAAAAAAATCACATATAAGATTTATAACCATATTACTAAGTTTTTGCAGTCTCGCTGTTTGAATCCCCACTACATATGTTTCACTTTTGTATTTCATAACTATTTCCATGAGCAGCATATGTAATCATCATCTTGCGATTTCTCACTGTTTATTTTCACTTTGAAAGTAGCATTATTTCTACTTATTTTGTTTTGTTTAAACTTTCCTTATATAAATTTAAAAAAAGAAAAATTCACAGTGAAATGGGTCTCTGTTTAATGACTGCATTAATGTCAAGTTCTGTTTTTAATGCCTAAGAAATTCTGACCATGAAGCAACAGAATGGTCTTGTAAGATATGTTGAAAACAACCATTCCCAAAAGACTGGCACACATTTAGAAATCTTAAAAGTTGGTACTTTGAAATGCAGAATCTTTAGCTTCACTTTGGGCATGGGCACATATGGGTATCATATACAGATTATTCTGATATGTTTCCCCATTCCAATCTCCCTTCTGTCCTTAACCTGTAGTTCCCTTTTCCATATGTTCAGTCTTACTTTTATCTATAAACTGTCTTTCATTTCATTCTACAATTTATATTTTGGTGTCTCATCTAAAAGAAACCCTGTGACCTTTTAGGTTTTATAGCTGAGCTATTTCACTGAATTGATGGGTGAAAGACCCATCTATTTCTTATGGCAAATGACATTATAGTATTTATTTTTTGACATTATATAACACGTTTTTTTCTTTTCTGGGCTGGGATTTAACAACAGGTATTAGCATAAAATCTGTAGCTTTTTAAAAATCTATTTTAAGAGATTCTCACTGATCATTAAGCTGTGAAGTTTGAACTTGAATTTGCCATTCTGCAAAATCCGATTCCTAGTGTGTTGGGTTTACAGAAAGGCATAATCACAGAGAGTCTATTAACATTTTCCTTCTCCACAAATCCAGTGATAGATAGCTAAGCCTCAAGGCCTGATCTGTTATAACTTGATCTCCTTTGTATATGAGTAAGTATGTATCAGTATTTTATGCAGATTTGAGATTTTAAAAATATCCAGGACAAGTATGAGGGGATCAATTTCTAGAGACAACTGCATATAGATATTCAAAATGAGTGCACTAACATTCCACCAGCCTACTAAGAATATTAATCAGAATGGCTGATTCCCTAGAGAATGGCTTGGAAACATGAGCACTCAGTTTTATTTCAAATTCTATTGCAAACTTAGCAATTGTTAGATAATGAATGTGTTATATTCACATGTAGTCATGGGTAGAAAAACTGAAGGGAGAATGTAATAACTCAAAATGTATTCTTTTCGTACTCATCTATATGCAATGTCATAGATTTTCATGATTTAATTCCCTCATATATACACCAGCTTATACATCTTCGGAGAATATTACTGACATTAAATTGAATGGTGCCTCATTTCTTTGGCGGTCATTTTTCTGCTGACTCACTAATTACTCATTCCTCTACTTGTGTGTACGAATTACCTTAAGTAACTCCAGTAAATTTTGCCTTCTTTTTCAGCTTCCTGGATATCCCCGAGTCCACCTGAATTGTAGACATAGAAATACCAGGACTCTTTAGAGTAATACATAAAAATTAATAGGTTTTGTTTAGATTTATGATTTAATCTGTCCAGGTGTGAGATATTTTTTAAAATGTTTTCATATTCTTTTTCATGAAACAGCACTAATGAGCAACAAACAATATTCTGACAGCATGAGTGACAAAAAGATTGCATCCTTACCTATCATAGTCATGTTCCTAAAGGTTTCACCCATCACATCTCTGTAGAGCTTCTTTTGGGATGGACCCAGCAAAGTCCACTCCTCATTGCTGAAGTTCACAGACACATCCTCAAAGGTCACCAACTCCTAAAGGATCATAAATATATTTCTCAATGGAAGGTTGAGACCCCAGGTTTGGGATATCTTAAATTCTCTCCTAGAAATCTGAATCAAAAGCAAAGTGTGGTGGTGCATATCTATAATCCCAGCACTCAAAAGGCTGAGACAGGATGGCATCAATGAGGTCAGGGCAATTCTAGGCTCCATAGGGTGTTCAAATCCATCTGATATACATACAGAAAGCTTGTCTCAATAAAACAAAACTAAACTAAACAACGAAAACCAAGCAAAACAGCTGAATGAAGACTGATTTCTTCAAATTTTAATCCATGTCTTGGTCAGTAATTTTGTGTATATACACATTTTTGAAGACAGCAAATTTGATGCTAGATTGCAACTCTCTGCAAATGTAACAGCCAAATAGGAACACTGATTCATGTGCTGAATCATGGCAAGATTCCTCGTGCACTGTCTCTAAAGCAGAGCTCACAGTAACAAGCCTGCAGGACCAGCAACCACAAAGCACAGAGGCAGATAAATATCCCACCAATTGACTGGAAAGCCAAGCAAGCACCTTCCCTCCCAGGTCAGTGGTGGTGGTTTGGCAAATTGAAGCCCTTCCAAGGGGAAAACAAGCAGCAGCTCCTGAGATCCATCCCATGCTGGAATTTAGGACACTGGGAAGCCAGTCAAGCACCACTTCTCCCTGGTAAGCAGTGGCAGTCTGTCAGACAGCAGCCCTTCCAGGGGGAGAACCAGCAGCGGCTCCTGAGATCCATGCTATGTTGGAACTTAGGATGCTGTGAAACGAAACAACCAGCCTGTCTCCCTACTAAGCAATAGTGAACCTACTGATGCACCAACTAGAATCAAACATCCCACTTCCCTACCCCTCTTCTCCTGTCACCCCCCATTAGCAAACTGGAACCAGAAATCTGAGTGTCTCCTGAGAAATAAACCATAGCAAATAAGGGGGACTTCCTTCTACTATCTCTTTGAAGGAAAATGGTTTTATTATTGTTTCACTCTATTCTGATTAATACTACTGCTCTATTCAATATTCTGTTTTGATAAGTTCTATAATGTTCTGTATTTCATCTCATTTTGATATATGTGATTAAGGAACAACTATTACAAAGATAACAAAATATACTGTGATACCTACTACTGTTATCCCAGTAACTTGTTGTGAAGTTGTGTACCAACTTCACTGTATGACCTTAGTTGACCTTATGCTGCCTTGTTCTGTTGTATTTTACCAATTTCAAATTTAAATAAAAAATCTCATCAATCACTTTGATAGACTACAGATGATGTCTCTTCAAATCTCATTTAGGCCAATGAGTATTTGTTTTTAATATACTAAATCAGCATTTTGAAACATTAATTTGGATTCATAGAACAAAACATAAATAACATCAAAAATGGTATATAAATAATAACTCAAGTGTTAGGGAAAAACAGCTGTATTTTAAAAATATGTATATAAAATGAAACCAGGCCCAAGCTGTAAATTATACCACACTGTCACCAAGTGATCACTTTCAATTCAAATATAAGAAATATAACTTGGGATGCTGGTGAAGGATTTCTTCCTTGAATTTGGGGCTATCCTAAGTTACAGAGTTGTCTAAAATAGACAAACCCTGATTGAGACACCGAACAGACAAAGTGAAACTTAAAAAGAGACTGCATAAGACACCTTTGGTTTGTTTTTAAAAAATTATAGCGATACAATACAGAAAAATTCCAACAATATTCAACACTTTCTGAGAAACAATGTGGATCTCTTCCATACTACACAGAAAACATTTTCATAGTTGGGTATTGAGCTCAGTGGCATGAAGGACTGCCTGGAAAGCATAGGTCATGCGTTCGATCCTTGGTACAAAAAAATTGAAAATTTCATCTTCATGACACTGGGGCATAATTAGAGATAATAATCAAATTAGATCTCAAGTATGGAATACAAAAATCATGTGTTGACAGGGATGTGGAATACTGATTGTTGCCAGAGCTGGTGTTGATCACCTCAATGAAGCAATCAGAACCCAACTTTACTTCATAATTACTCTAAAAACTACCTGACTTTCAGTGAAGACGCTCTCTGTTGTATGTCCTGCTATTTGCTGCCTGCATCCTGTCAGTCACTTCCACATCTTTTCCACACTCCTCTGATCCATCCAAACAGAAAACACTTCATGCCTAACTATTGATATCATTGCAAAATTTCTATTTGGGGCTTCTCATTTACACCACTTAGATATGTTCATTGTAGAGAATTTCCATATTTAAACTGTCTATTAACACCCAAGCTACTAACCCAGGTCTTAATTCAGAGATGACACCTCTATTCCTTTCCATTCAGAAGGATATCACGTGTATATGTCCATGCAAATGCCTAAATTTTGGCATTTTCCAAAGAGATTTAACAGGTAGCCCTTTCTGGAATTTGTCCTTCACAAATTTTTACCCTGTCCTTGATAACACTTTCATATTTGCTTCATTTTTCTCAGACTTCAAAACTCTATGGCTGTTTTCACAAACCTAGTCTGTGAGCAAGGGTGACACCTAAATAACTAAGTATGTTCAGAAATTATTTTGCAATGCTCAAGAATACACAGGAGTTCACCAATTGTTTGGGAAGCCTTTCTCCACTGAGGCACACTACTACATATCTCTGAATTCTCAGGACCTTTGTCACTACCTGTCATGAGGATAGAAATAGGAGAACATACTATAAATTTAGGAGATCATTATAAATACAAAAAAAGCCAAGTTTAAGTTGAGCCATTGTGGCTATGAGGCCCTGCATTACATACATTAATAAACTCAGGACATTCCAGATCTGCTACTCTGAGGAAAGAGAGCATAGACCTAGCTCATTACTGGTCTACAAGCTACAAAAGCAGCATAGTCAGGGTCTTCCCAAGCTCCTCCCAATGCCTAAGATGGTGGACTTACCAGGCTAGCAGTGAATTTCAAAGATGATACTTGTGTCTGCTGCTATCATAGTGAAGCCAGGGTTCTGGTGACCCCAAATTACCCTTGCCAACAGCAAGAGGCAAAAGGGACAGTGAATGACCCATGGCCAAAGCTGGAGGACCTCAGGAGCTGAAGATAACTAAATACCTGAGGCTACCGACACCGGAACTACTCCTAAACACTTGTAACTGGTTTCGCCCAATCCATCTTATTTCTGGGCTCCTATCCACAACCTCACTATTCCATGGATCCAGGATCTCTCAGGTTCTTTGCTAATCAGGCCACAGGACATCAAAGGTATTAAATGAGATCCAGCAAGCATTTTGCTACCACTGTTGTACTCAGAACAGGTAAATCATGCTGAGACACCAGAACAGACAGAAGTCACAGCCAGCAATGGCCCACCTCATTGGACAGTTCATATAGCCTGCCCCTTCATCACTGATTGACTCCTGCTCTATTGCCCTCCTTCTGAGTCAAGAATAAACAGAGAAAGGAACCACTCCCTGCAAGAGAGGATCCCAAAAGATAGACTGTAGTGCAGAGACTTCTGGAGCTGCCGTTCTTCTACAGTGGTGAACTCAGCTCGACAGAGGAGTGTTTGTATTGAAGAGCTTTACCTCAGAATTTTAACTTTTAAATCCATTTTATTTCAAGGAAAAAAGAACACATCAACTAAAATTAAATTTCAAAACATGTCAATCAGGGGGCAACAATGGTATATACATTGCACATTGTCATCCCCAGATCATTCACCCAGAGCACAAGACATCTGTATTCAATTTTCCAAACAGTACTGTTACAGGGACCTGAGTTATTTAAATACTATTGGCATGAGACTTGGCTAGGTCCCCCAAGGAGCCCATGCAGGATACCAGATACCTTGCAACTATGGGAAAGACTGACACCTCATGCTATGGGCCAAGGTTCAAGACAAATGATAAGCAAATTCATCCATATCCTAAGAACTGATATTCTAAATAGTTCCCTAGCACTCTGAGGAAGTCAGGAGTCACCATTTAAAGAAATGTATCCTTATCCTAAAGACTGACATTCTAAATAGTTCCTATCATCCTGAGGAACTCAGGAGTCACCCTCCCAAACCTCTAAAGGAAGAGATACAGCTGCCTAAGAATGCCTGCTTTCTATGTGACTCCCTTCCCCCTTTGTTACCAATTTAATCAACTTTACATGAACTTATAATCTTATTGGCTACCATAACTCTGTCCCATCTTATGCCCATCTGCATTGTGAGTTCTTAGTTTTCTCTACCTTAAACTCACTTCACCACATGATTTTACTCTATAAAGGTCCCTAGAATGGACAGTGTTTGGCAACCTGCTCAGGATACCTTCTCTCTCTCAGGCAACATTTTTCTCTCAATAAGTATATTCTTCTCTTACTCTCTGTTGTTCCTAAAATTCATTCTTGGACTTTACAGGACAAAAACCTAATATCAGACATAGTAGACAGGGAGATTCATTCCAGTATATCAATATCAGTATAAACTTTTCTCTTTCCTGAAGTCAGAGAAATCCAATAGTTTGTATCACACATTGTTGATCTCACCAGGCCATGGATATTTGCATTGAAGGCTTTTATCCCTGCCTTTAAGTGCTGCTTCTTTTTCTGAAACTGAACTGATCTGTAATTTTGGTTATGGTATTGAAAATGCATTAAGGAATTGACTCAAAATATTTTTTATGAATGGTTTACCAACAGCCATGGAGGAAGACAGATAGCAAAAATTCTTTGTTTTGATTTCTTCATTCAAACCAAAGGATGTACTTGAAAGAGCTTTGCCCTTCAAACAATTACAGGACCTCATGGTTGTAGTTCAAGGTGGAAGAATATGAAATCAGGGATGCTTACTCATATGGCCACTTCCTCTTTTCTCCTTGAATACAACTTCCTCTTTCTTTCCCAGG